GCCGCTAATTAGCGGAGCTCGTCGCTTCGGAACGTCGTTGAATTCCTCCACGGGAGACGTCCTCCGCGTTTCTTTATCTTTATCGCGGCATTCAGAGGCAGAGGCGTCGAGTGTCGTGCTGCGTGCAACTTCGAGGCTGGCCGTTTAAACGTCTTGGGGGGGAGGAAAGAGAAAAATGTCCTGCATCCGCATACACCGAGGGAACTTGAGGAATTCCCTCTCGAAGAGGCGAAAGACACCTCTCCTCCCTCCCTCTCATTCTGCCCGTTTCTTATCGGTGAACCCGTGGATCTCTGTGCGTTTGTGGAATGAATATAGGGTGTTCGTGACAAGGAGAATTATTCTACTTAATTGCGTCTATTTTTGGCATCTTTGAATTTGACATAAATTACTCGCTGTGTAATGACAAATAAGATTTATTGTTCACATAACAGTGATTTAGATTTTATTTCATTTTTATAGAATAGTGTATTTACCGCGATATTTTTCTAGGTAAGAAAGTTATCGTGAAAGTATAAAAACGTACAGAGATCCACAGTCTACCTGTCACTTTCTTTTTCATTTTCTCGACGATTCCTTTCACAGAATTGTTGCGAGATGATCGGAGTTTGATGTCGAAATATAACTCGACGAACTGAGATATTTACATTTCTTAAACGCGTAGAAAATTTGCAGAAAAACTGACGAAACTGATAATAACGAACGTAAAGTTTTCTTTCTCTCTCTCTCTCTTTCTCTTTCTCTCGCGTGTTTTACAGAAATTTACTCAAACTAAATAAAAAACTCTCTGTAAAAAGAAAATTACACAGAATTGATCGTTTTAACGCAGTCAACTGCAGCATTAAACAAAATCGATCACTTTGACCGCCGGCCTCGAATTTCCGCGAAAAGTCCGAAGCTTATCGAACGAAGCGTAATTACGTTCGAGTGAAATGAATTTACTCCTTTTTTTTTTTTTTTTTTTAATGCCTCCATATTCCTGTCACAACGGCGAGTGCCGGGCTATATCGAAAATACTTTGTAAAATTAGTATCCGATGAAAAGCCTCGCCTTTACTGCGCGTGACTTTAATTACCGCGAAAAATAATTCTCGAAAAGGGGTTGACAATCCGATTTCACGGGAAATGCAAACGCGGACTCGGGGATTTAAACGCGTTGGAAATTGACAGAAGGGCGAATCGATCGGGGCGAAAATTGGCAAACCTTCTCGAGGAGCAGGCCACAGCCAGAGAAGCGGGCAAACTGAATTATAGGAGATTTACGATTCCAAGTAGCTAGGGGGAAGCCTTCTCGAATTGTGTCAGCCGCGAATCGGAAGTCGGTCGTACGAGCTGGTCGCTGGCGTGTATCTCACGGGGATCCACCATACGTATATACATATATATATATATATACACACACACACATGCGCGCACACACACGTAATACACCCCTGCTCAAAAGTTCTGAGCGCCCTTCGAGTGGCTTTCTAATGAAAAGACTGGCTCTTCTAAGGAACAAGAATCTGACACATCTCATTGTGACTGGAATGTCTCTGTTTGCTGAAAAGAGTTGTATGTTGTTCCTTTTTTTGGAAATTTTCGAGCGGAAGTGTACGTATAAATCAGCCATTTGACTATTTGATCCCTTAGGCTCTCACTTCGCGCGTGTGTATATATATTTATATAGTTTCTTTTATGTACACAGTATTAATCACACAGAGAGATCTCTGTGTAATCAAAAGATGAAAAGAAAGAGAAAGAGACAAAGAGGAGAGAAAGAGGAGAAACAAAAGAAGGTGAGAAGCAAGGCAAGGGTCAAACAGTCAAACGACGAATATAATAATTCTACGCCATTATAAGTAAAACACGTCGATCAAACGTGGGGTGAAACGAAGAAAAACAGAAAGAAAGAGAGAGAGAGAGAGAAATAGAAGGAAGAAACAAAGATAGAACAAAGAAAAACTGGAGAGAGGGGAAACAGTAACATTATGTAACATTATGTGTATTACACCAAATGTAACAACATTTTGATCAAACGTGAACGAAACAACAAAGACAGACGAGAGAGAAAAAAGACTAGACTTGTGGATGAAACGAAGTTAACGGGAAATTGAACACGGACAGGCGTGAGATGCACGAGTAACAGAGAGAGGACAAGTCAAAAAGAAGAAGAAGAAGAAGACACAAAAAAAAAAAAAAAGAGACGAGAAGAAAGAAACAACAGAAAGTGTGAAAAAGATATGCTTGGTAAAATGGTTTGTTCAAGTACCTCAGCGAGCGAGGTCACGCCGGCTAGAGCTGACTCTCTGTTCGTTCGGTTCGTTCAGGAGGAGACGTAACACGATTGGTAGTAGTAGTAGTAGTAGTAGTAGTAGTAGTAGTAGTAGTGGTAGTAGTAGTGGTAGTAGCGGTAGTAGTAGTAGTGGTAGACGATAGCGGTAGTAGTCGATAGTAGCTGACAGTAGTGGTAGATAGCTGATTCGGTACTGGTAGTGGTAGTAACGTGTACGTATACGCGGCGTAGGGCGCTGGGTCGGCGATCGGCTTGCTCTAACTTGACGGCAGTAAGCAACACGAGAAACAATGTTACACACTTCAAGATCACATATGAAAAGAAAGAATTTTTTTTTGTTTGGTTCGTCGATTTTTGATTTTTGATTTTTTTTTTTTTTTTTTTTCCATAAGGGACTGGGGGGATTTACACATGTCATCTGTGATTTCGACCCATTTCTTTCTTATACTTTTCTCTATTCGACCTTGGTGACTTCTTTTCCCTCTCTTTTCTCTCGTGATACTTTCTCTTGCCTCGGAGTCTTACGTTTTTTTTTTTTTTTAGAGCGAGAGCTTTCGTGGATGTAGAGGGTGGATTTCACTCTTTTCTCTCGTGTCTTTTTTTTTCTAATTTTTTTCTGTGCATCGAGAGCGATATTTAGAAATCCCTGTATATTTCATACATACATCCGTGTATTAATCCATGCAGTTTTTAATACACGTTCGGAACTATGATCCGAGAGTATCCAACTTGTCATAAAAGTCCAATCACACGAAACATTTTGTAATTTCACCGTAACGCGATAGCAACTAATTGTATTTTAAATTTAAAATCAATGAAAGAATATACACATCAAGCTACAAAACATCAATACACAACGTGAGGAGCTGTACGATTGCTGTTAGACATAGCCTCCATTGAACATTAATGGATATTAATAATTGGCTGCTAGACTAATTCCGTAATATATATATATATATTTGTATCGAATACGTCGTAATTCCTATACACATTTTCAAATTTCTTTCAAACTTTTCCAAGATGATCTCAATCGTGCCAATGAAATTTCAAAATGTTTTACACACGTAGGTAAAAACTGTTTTCGTGTTCCGGTTTCGCAGTTGCGTGTACACAGAGTGTAAAAAAAAGGCAGCACGACGCGACGCAACACGCGCTGTGATTCGATGAGATTCTTCGTCTGGATCTTTCCTCCAGTCAAGAACCAGAAGCGGAAGAACTGGCCGGAGCTTTCGTTCGGTTTTTCAAGAACCAAAAACAGCGAAAGGACGTCGACGTCGGGGAGGGTTCTCTCCTGCACCGTTTCGATCGTTTCGACCCCTCTCTTCTTCTCATTCTCCACACAGTTTTTAATTTCCGTGTCAACGATGCGTCCACTCTCCGTCTTTCGTTATCTTCCCCTTTTCCTTCCTTTTGCCTCTTTCATTTCAATGCTTGTCCTTACCGCGTATCGATTTCGAAGGGGAAAAAGGCACCAAGCTGCGTGTCACGTGCGCGCGTGCATCTCCCCCCTCTCTCTCTCTCTCTTTCTCGATATCCTCCAGATCCACTATTCTCGCTTTTCCATTTTCCCTTCTTTTTTTTTTTTCCTTTCACTTCCTCCGAATAGAATTTCGTTTTCCTTTGTTTCTTCATTCCTGAATTTCTAGTGGAATTTCGAGATTCGAATTTTGTTGTTCTTTCTTTCTTTCTTTCTTTTTTTTTAAACATATAATTGGTCATTGGAAGAAGAAAGGATCCGGCGGACGATGGTGATGTTCGTGGGTGCGAGGGAAAAATTCACGGGGGCGAGGTGACAGGAGGGCTCTTCGATTCTCGAGGACCCGATCTCCCCGGTTTGTGATCTTAACCCTTTCAGTGTGTTGATAGACGACATGATCGTCGTCGGGTGAAACTTGCGAAAAATACCAAGGACGATGGGTGTCATTCTACGCGAATGAAAGTCAGACGAGTCGCGGTCTCCTTTTTTTTCAATTTGAAAGCGAAGATTGACCGGAAAAAAAAAAAAAAATATCGACGACGGAATGACAACACCAACTTCCCGGAACCAATGAATCGCCATTTTGGAAAATCGAACGTTTGAATTCGTTGTTAGCAATCCCTCAATGCGATTAATTGATTCTAAATTATTCTCTAGAATTAACATTTATCTTAGTGTAAGCTATCGTTCAGTACCGAGGAACCAAAAAACAGGCGTAAAAATGCCCTAATCTTTCGATCACTCTTTGCTATCGATCAACGTTTCGTCGCGAAATATCATCTGGCATCGAAATGCGTAATTCGAAAAATCGTGAGACCAAAAATAAAGGAGAAGAAGCGCCTCGATTAAATGATATCACTTGGTACCAAATCCAATATTTCAAAATCCAAATGGGACCAAGTAACAGACAAAAAAAAAAAAAAAAGAAAAAATAAAACACCTAATTCCTCGATCGATCAATTCGTCTCATTCGGGCTCGGTATTTTTCGCTCGGGATGATTCTTTCTCCCACTCGACACTAAGAGGGTTAATTTCTCCCAAGACTGCAACAACCTGGGGTATATCATTTTTCCCCCTTACATCCTAACCGACACACCGTCGTATTCTGACTTCCTTCCCTTTAATTACAATCCTTTTACAATTACGGTCGATGGTTTTACATATATATGTATATAAATATATATATATATATATATGTATGTGTGTGAGTGTGTGTATTAATCTGAATGATTGGTCACCTACGGCTTACCTTGCGAAGCTCTTGAACGCCGCAGACTGCGGATTTATGCAGAGCGGCACGCGCGACGTGTTCAGCTGTTCCGCTATAAATTTGTGCATTTCCTCTGGAACAGACAAACGAATATAGTCGAGTGAGAATGCCTGTTGGCTCTCGGTCGTCGCGATAGTTATGAGCGTACGTAGGTGAATCGAAGAACTGGTATATTGGCTCTTGTTTTTGCTCGGGGAGGGGGACACGCCGCTTCGTGTCCCCGGCGGAATCTCTTCGGGTGTACAATCGATTGTTTGCGCTTTATCGTGCGTTGTCACACGCAGAGCGTGCTCACGCTGCCGCCACGTGCCTGGGAATATCACGTTGGTGAATCGGTGAACCCGAGGACGAGTTGAAATTGTCAACGACGAAAGCGGCGAAAACGTGGCGAAGGATAGTTTCCCAATGGGGAGAAGATAATTTATACGTAGAAGTGATTACAGGTTGATTAAAAATTCGCCCCCATCTCGGTTCGAGAATTTTAAATGACACTATAGGTTCTTTGGGAATTGAAATTTTACCTTGCCTTTACTTTTCTCTTAAACATAACAAAGATCCATAGTTTACGATACGAATTTAAATTATTCTCAAATTTTTTTCTCTCTCCCAGAGAAATAAATTTTTTAAGTAAAATTTTTCTTCGATAGAAAAGCTAAGAACTTCTTTTCTAAGCCAAGGATTCTCTTTTCACATGTAGGATTCAGTAATGTCATATCGGAACAATATCGTATACGTCCAACGATAAAGGTATAGAATACAACAATAAAATTCATTTCAACTTTTTGGAACTATGAAAGGTCGAAGTTACATTCTCACTGTAAATCTGGAAAGATAGGAAATGGAAAAGTACAAGCCCATATTTCAAGAGACAAATAGCGCAAGTAACGAAATAAACAATGATACATTCTTTACTATTTCGATTCCTCAATTCGAAAGACAAAGTGAAATTGAAATTTGATGGAAATAGCTCTCGCCTTTCCATGTCTGTGCTCCTAAAATGTTACACACGGATTTAAATTTTTGGAATTTTCAACAATTATATTTACGACTCGATGATTTCAAAATATATTCTTCGCCAGTCAGAATTATTCGCGAATACTTCATACAAAGAAACGACTATAATTAATTCTTCGGTCAGGAACAAGTTAAAAATACTCGTGATAAAAGATTCCCAGCGCAGAAAACTGATTTGAAAGTTAATTCGGTTAGTTTAGTTTACTTCAAAGTCAACATAGTCGACAGAGTCTGTAATCTTTAAAGTTTGCTGAATCAATTCGTCATTGGGAAATGCTTCTCCAACAAATGTGAAATGATCTTTAATTTACTTCGCTCCGATTAATTTACCCAGTCCGATCTTTAACAATTGGAACAATTCCAGCCCATCGACACGATAAATTTCAGATTTCTTTTTTGAAAATGTGCTACGTTAATAATTTCGAATTGTGTGAATCTATTTTTCACTCGAAGTTGCAAGTGATTCACGCGTGGAAAACGACCGTGGTGCTCGCTTGAGAAAGAAATTGGCACGTGAAAGTTTGGCTAGAAGAATTTTTCCGACCTCGTAGAATGCGTTTCTGGCGTCCAACTGGCAATCGAAGAACCTCTTTGTTCGTAGCGACACGATCGTTTCGTCTTGCGACACCTTTCTTGGACACACGTGCAACCGTCCACGACGGATCCAGTCAGGACAACTCGAACCCACACCGCGCGATTACTTATTACAAACGTCGCATACCTGTCGTATGACAAATCTCGAGTGCAGAATTAAACGTTAGCGTTGGACGCGCTGTCTATAGTAATCGTGCGACGCAGCGCGGGCCTAATAGGCGTAATTTATGCGAATTTCGTGGCTCTGTTGATGTTCGTGGCAACGTTGATATTTAAAAATAATACCGGTTAGCGTTAGAGTTTCAGAAGTTACGCCAATTTATTTATTTCGCTCACCGTTTCTGTTGAGTGAATTTATATTATAAATTATCAATTTGAAATTGAAGTCTTTAGATTCATTTTTACGTCTGCACGAATATACTGAACGCAGCGTTCACATTTCCTCCAAACAGATTTATTACAGAGCACGAATTATTCACAATTTGTACTCAAGAGAAATTAAAACTCCGCGAAAGAACTTTCATCCCCCTACGTGTATGAATTAATTTTTTTACGACTGTTCAACTGTTTAGTGCTAGAATATCTTCTAATCGATAATACAATTCGAACTTTCCTTTCCACCCAGTACAACAGAAATAACGCGCATAAACCACTCGTGCATCAAATGGGAATTTAAATACTAATTTAAATACTATCCCCGAATGTGTGAGTGTCAGAGTCTCGAACCGTCTTCGTTTTTCTCTCGAGGGGAGATGCAATCCACCCCGTTCCCTCTAACGAACGAATGGCGTGCAATTTTTCAACCACGATATTAGACCCAGTTTCGCCGACGACTGCTCCGGGAAGAAAGTTGGCTACGATAACTGGCCGGGGACCCCCCTGAGTGATAAACGATGATTTATTATCGCGGTCGTATTCGCGAGACGCACGCAACAGTCTATCGCATCGTTGTTCCGCGTACGTTGTTTCCAAGCCACGTGCGTCCAAGACGTCTCGCTATTAATAATCGTGCGTGAGTCACTCGATGGCGAATGCATTTTCTTTTCTTTTTTTTTTTTTTTTTCTTTTTTCCTCGCGAGCTGAAAACCCGCGATTAATGCGAACTCTGCTTGGCAAACGCACCCTTTCTCTAATAACTCTCCGCTCGTTTCCGCCCGTTTCATTAGCATTCGCTGAAAGTCGACTCTTCGTGAATGGGGGGGGGGGGGGGGGAAGAAGGGGTTTTCACAGATACTTAGTGATGTGTTAACATTAATATACCGTTGGGAAATTTTTTTGTGAAATTATCAGTAATAGTGTAAGTTGTTAGTATCAATACTCTCGCGGTGGAATATTCCGAGTAAGAATTTCGCCCTTTTGAAGCGTGCTTTAGGATCCCAATGTTATTTATATAGAAAGTATCGAAATTTTATATATATATAATTATATATAAAATATAGATATAAATTTTATATAATTATATATAAAATATAGATATAAATATATAAATTTTATATAATTATATATAAAATATAGATATAAATATATAAATTATATATTATATATATATATATATATACATATATATATAAAATATTTTTAATGCCACACATCAATTATATGAACAACGTGAAGTTTTTCATTATTTTATAGAGATTTTAATATTTATTTTTGTATCATTCGTTCGGAGAGGCGAAATTTCGAGAAATCGATCGACTCGCCATGACTGAATCTCTGCAACCCCGAGAAATTTCCTCGCTCGATGCTAGTTTCGGGTTACCAAAGGGCGGAAAAATAAATTTGTTTTTTTTCTTACTTCATGCGGGGAGGTCGAGATTGAAAGTATCAGCTGGGTATTCGTTTCGATTTTCTGGTATACCTCGCCGATGAAACGAGGGAGGGTCTCAGTTGAATTGAATTGAATTTCGGGAAATTTCCACAGACAAAAGAAAGTTTAAAAGGAATCTGCTGATCGAGTTCAACGTTAAAAAATTCTTTCGATCAAATAGTTTATTACTTCTAATAATTTCTAATTATTAATGTAAATATGTCAGTAGATAGTATTAATATAAATATACAGTATAAATGTAATTATTTAATTATTATCTACTTATTTAAAATGCTCTTCGATTAATTGATAAGAAGAACAGAATTAACCTGTCGAAAAATATATAGCATATATCTTGGAATGAATTACTGTTACTAACATTGGAAAACACGTCCAATACGAAATAATAAATACATACAAGTATCAATTTTAAACTGTTTTTTGTCTGTTCGTTGTATATATACTGCTTCATCAAACAAAGACAGGACAAACTGTCTTCGATTCTCAAAATCTATTTTCATTTATCTTCTCCGCCAAAATCAGACAACTTCCTGTATACCGATTCTTCTTCGCGTGGCAGCCTTTCAACTACATCCCTCAGACACTCTGTCTCGTAAACTCGATATAACAAACCTCGGATCTAGGTCGCACATCTATTTTCTTAGATGCAAGCACGCGCTGAATTTCAGAAGTTTCGCTGCCATTTTTTTTTCGGCAGTAACGTCGGAAATTCATCGTCCACCAATCGAGATATTCCCAGAAATGAATTTCTTTGTTTTCTACACAATTACATCTACTTACAATTACAAATTATCGTCGGTATCAGAGATTTATTAGGTTGGTGCATAAGAAATTTTGCTTTTTTCTTTTTGATAAAGTTTGACTGCATGCAGTTTGAAATATCACATATACATGGTGTTTCCTACTTTTCCGGAAAAAAATTTGTGAGAGTATAATCTACGAGTGAAAATAAGAAAAGAATGTTACATTGAATTTGTTCGTAATTGCTTCGTTGGAAAGCTGTAGGCAAATATTGAAAGTAGCCTGGTTAAATCTGAGAAAAATATTATATTTCTTAATACGTGAAACTTTCCCACATGATCAGTTGATCTTTTTGTTTGTTATTTATTATAATTTTCTAGAATTTCAATTTTATGTACCTGTAACGATTTTTTTTTTTTATGAAATTCAACTAAATGCTCGTTTCGAGCTCCGCCTCGACTCGATCTGAGCCACGTCGTCGCTCGAAATTTTCGTCGTCATTTCGTCGGGTCGGTTCTTACCTTTCACCTGCTGAACGGTGGTCAGTTTCCGTTCCCAGAGATCGTCGAACGGATGTGAAGTGGCCGGCTCGAAGTCCCCCGTGTACTGTCTGAGGCCGCCGCTGGTCGTGTAACAACACGTGCACATGCACGAATGATATCTCAGTCTCCCCTCGTCCAGATAAGGATGCGCCAGTGCATCCACCACGGTGATCCTCTTGTCCTGCGGCAGGTTCGTGAACCGGGTCAATGAACGATCGATATGAACGAGACGCGAGGCCCGCCGCCTCTCGAAAACCCGATCGATCTTCGACTATCGGACTCCGCTATTTACGAGGACGGTGTAACCTAAACAACCTCTTGCGCTGAAACGACGCTTTTTGTCCCAAGATTGCAATATTTTCTCAGTCTTAACTATATTTAACTATCAACGCAGGCAAAACAAATAATATATTTATTACTTATCAATAATTTCTATATTTCTAGTGATATCGTACCGATGAGTTCAAAAAGAAAAAAAAAAAAAAAAATTATTAGTATACGATTTGGTCACTCGTTATGGTCCGCAATCAGTTGCCAGCGCAAGTGGTTATTACAACCGTGTTCACCTCCCGAGAGATAGGAAAAAAGCGAGGGTTCGAGTACGTTTGCACGATTATTATCACCGATAAATCGTTAACGAGCTGCTCATTTTTTCAGACTAGGAAAGAGCGTAGCTTTCTGTTCGAGAGAAAAGCGAGAATTTTAGCTTCATCGGTCCTTGTGAAAAATTACCAATGGCACACAACACAGTGATAAAAAAGAATCAATGATAATACGGTAATAAATGGTTAATAATAAAAAATTGTCGATAACTTAAACTGTTGTAACTTTGTAAAGGAAAATCACAGAATCTTCGTTTCGTTTTAAAGCACAAGACTTTCCCACCTCGACTCTCCTAGGTTCATCTTTTTTTTTTCAAAAATGTTTTCGCATCTTTGGTAAAACCATTTCTAGAAATATTAAAAATATAAATTTCTCGTGACTCGATCCACCATGATCTTGAAAATTGAAATTTTCTCTACAACGACTGCTACAAATCTTGCTGTACGATTTCCTCTCTTTGTTTTTTCTTTTCTTTCGCGCGAAATTTTCCAATTTTCGTTATTGATTCGTACGTTGACTCGACCGTCGAGAGTGGTGAAACTTACAGGATCGAAGACTAGCATCTGACAGAGCAAATGGACGGCCTCGTGCGTCGCCTGGCTGCTGAGGGTGTAGAGGGCCGTCAACGAGGGCGGTTTCGGCGCGCGCCTCAGCATGTGCGATCTCGCACCCTCGCATGCGAACCTCATGTCCTCGAGGGTCGGCGTGCCCAGCAATTCTGTGATCAATTCCAGCTGAAAATCGAATGAGAATGTTCTCGACTTTAGAAGACTTTCTGGTCTACTCTCTTTTTCTCTCCCTCCCTCTCTCTCTCTCCCTCCCCCTCCATTTGTCCATTTGTCGTCGTAGAGTTGCATAATTTTACCTGATAGAAGATTCCACTTGGGGCGGAGGAATGAAAATTCGAGGAAATTGCAACGATGAACTGTGAATGGCGAATCGAAACTTATGGGACGAACTAGAATTTACAGCTACGGAATGAACTCGATATGAATTAATTACAATTATTAATTATGGAAGTGTTGAAGATTGTTAGTTGTCGTTAGATCCGTGGATGCTTATATAAAAAAACTGAAACGTGCGGAAATTTATAAAGTACCTGTAACACACGGACAAGGGACGAAGAAACGTGCAAAATGTTCAAATTAATTTCCTTGATGTACATATATTTTAATTAATTCAATTGCATTTGTTCAATTAATTATTCAAATTTATATATAATAATTCTAATATATATATAATAGTAATATGTACTATGAATTTTACAATTCATCGAGAGTCCAAGAATTAAGAACAATTTCATAAAAGTGTATCTCGCCATTTATCATCGAGTTACAACAATGTTCGAAAATTTATCTTTCAACACAATTATATCTCATTAATTTCGAAGGTTGAGGGCATTTTCTACACTATTCAAAGTCTGAAATAAATCTTTCTACTATCTTATTTAAATTATACTAATCTTTAAATTCTACTACTTCGATGAATATTCACAACAACAAGTATCAGAATTAAATATATCCCAAATTGTGTCAAGCAGAGAACAGAGTTCTCAAGATAAGAAAGAACGTTCTCGTCGAGGATTTCTGAAGCGTTGCACCACCGAAACATACGTTAAAAATGTCTGTCAATTTTCAAATATACTCGGAGTGTACGGAAAAAAAAAGAGTCGAGGGAAGAAGGACTAACCTGTTGCACGGGACTTTGTGCCTGGAAGAGGATCCGTCGACGAAGGAGCTCGCCAAAAATGCAACCAACGCTCCAAACGTCCACAGCTGCTGTGTAGTGTCGCGCCCCCATCAGGATTTCCGGCGCGCGATAATACTGCGTCACCACTTCCTGAGTCATGTGCTTGTTCTGATCCGGTTCTTCCACTCGGGCCAAACCGAAGTCGCAGATCTGTTCGCGGGCAACACGGTGTCATTTCGAATTATTATTAACATTTACACAGAGAAATTTACAAAGTTTCCTTTTTCCTTTGATTTTGTTGCTCCTTTTCTTTTCTTTTCTTTTTTTGCAAGAGGATTTGTTAGAATTCGCGATTGTTTAGGCTGTCACTTTGAATTATTATTAACATTTACACAGAGAAATTTACAAAGTTTCCCTTTTCCCTTGATTTTGTTGCTCCTTTTCTTTTCTTTTTTTTTTTTTTTTGCAAGAGGATTTGTTAGAATTCGCGATTGTTTAGGCTGTCATTTCGAATTATTATTAACATTTACACAGAGAAATTTACAAAGTTTCCTGTTTCTTTTGAGTTTATTGTTCCTGTCTTTTTGCAAGAAGATTTGCTAGAATTTGTTATTGTTTAGGCTGTCATTTCGAATTATTATTAACATTTATACAGAAAAATTCGCAGAGTTTCCTCTTTCTCTTGGTTTTGTTACTCCTTTTTTTTTTTATAAAGAGATTTGTTAGAATTTGTTATTCGTTTTGGTAATTTTGGCGGCAAGTGAAAGCTTTTGAAAGACTCGGGTAAATTAGAGTGCTTACCTTCAGCACGCAGTTGCTGTTCACGAGCAAGTTCCCTGGTTTTATGTCCCTGTGCAGGATTCTGGCTGAGTGAAGGTATTTGAGGCCTGAAACGAAAAGAGATTTCGATTGACGGAAAAGTCGGAAAATTTTTGAGTAAAAAATTGCTACTTAAAAGTTTTCGAATTTTCATGTGTTCGAAATTTAAAAAATTCTAGAAACGTCTAGATTTCCTGAATTCTTAGGCACAATTCGTGAATTGCGAGATTTTTCAGCTCTACGACTTCTATGCAATATTTCCAATATTCTAAATTTCGACGTTTCTCGAAGTTATGTTTGCATTTAGAAACTCCGAATTAATTAAATTATTTAGAATTAGAAGTTCCGAAGTCTTTAAATTCGTAAATAGCATAGAAGTTCTTGAAATTTTTGCATTTCTAAGTTTCTAAAATTCTAAGCAATTCCTAAATTTTCAGATCACGCTGGATATCTAGTTTCCTAAATTCCGAGGATTCTAAATTTCCAAAATTCTCCGGAACATCCAGATTAAATTACTAAATTAAATACCCCGAAACTCTAGGTTTCAAGATTCCTAATAACATTCTAAACCTGTGGATTCCTAAATTTACAAACACTCACGTTCCTGCACAAAATAACTGATTTTCTAAAGTCTCTGAGATCCTTAGACTCCTAGATTCTTAACTCGCGAAGTTAAAGTTTCCATCTTCCAAGATTTTTAGTTTCCTGAATTCCAGAATTTTCCCTGATACTTCTGAATTCCCGGATTTCTCGATATTAAAGTTTCCGAATTCCGTAATTTTCTTCTGCAACTTTCAACGTTGCGAATTCCCAATTGCTCTCGGGCAGCGAGCTGAAATTTCCGCGAACTTGGCGAATTGGATTTTCAATTTCGCAAATCCACACACACACACACACACACATTGTCGGGAACACCTTGCCCGATATTTCCAATCTTGCACGGTGGATTCCTCGCGGCGGTAACCAAGCCACGTTCCAAGACAATCAAACTTTCCAAACCAGCCATTATCAGGTTCGAAAACCTGAAAAGACACGGACGTTTCTCATCGAGGAGGCGAAAACGCGCGACCTCGATCTCCGCGAAATTCCACCGGCGGATCGTTAGGCGGTCGGCTCCTTACTCAACTCGACGAATGCGCATACGTTCGGCCAGGGATTATATCCAGCGAGGATATCTTCGTGTCGTACCAATTCACACGCGATCAAACTATTTCCCACTTCCACATGATTGAACGCTCTTTCTTATTTTTCACCAGAAATATATGTGTATGTGTGTGTGTGTGCCTGTCGCGAATTCATCCGTGACACATTTACACTTGAATGCATTTGAAAGCGCGAGGATTACGATTTGAAGGATTTCTCTTGCGTTCACTATCGTTGCTTTCCTAGCCAACTGATGATAAAATAAAATTTTCTAACGTGTGAAAATGAAGTTTCAACAACAATTGGGCCTACAGAGCCTTCACCACTTGCGATTCTTAGCTCTAATGTTTAATTATTCGATTATTTATATTTCATTCGATTGGTTAACTGATAAAATAAAATACCATTATTTTTTTTAACAATAAATGAAATTTTAACAATAGCTTTGCTTTTGTGAAACAGCGGAGAGTATTGAAAATTTGGACTTGCACCGCTGTGATTCTCAGCCCTTCATTTAATTATATTTCATTATTCAATTACTTATTTCATCATTCGATCATTTGATTCGATTATTTCATTTAATTTCATTTAATTAATTGTTTCATCGTTCGTATTGACGTTCTGATTATCAAAATTCCACGTCAATCGTTACGATTTGAAATAAAAAGCTGACGATTACAAATTACAAATTACTATCGTTCCAATGAAATACGCTTAACGATTCAAATCGCAAAGTCCCAAGATCATTAAATTCTGATATGTGCAATTCTAGAATAATGTGCAAATACGATTTGTCAGATCGTTTGTAACTTATAATTTCTCCGGAGTAAGCAACAACGAGTTATCAAACGCGAGATATTCGCGGTTGATAGTTCACGGAGAACGAGATTACGAACGTTTTATTGAACGGAACAAGTGGGACGACGGATCTCTCCCCTAAGTGCTCGTCATCGACGACAAATTGCATCGGATCGCGGAACGTTCTTCGTCGATGGTAATTTCGCATGGGTGAGCGGGCGCCGAAAACCTGTTTTAAATTGAAATCCCGAATCGAACAAGAAACCTGTCCCTATTATCAGCTAGAGAAACGAGAAAAAGAGAGAAAGAACCCTCCTTCGCCATTTCTCCTCTCCGTGCTTGATTTCAATTAATTTCCGAAATCAATTCTCTCCTTATTCGTTCGTTGTGGAAGATGATTTTGGACACGATTGTCCAAGTGAAATTAACATTTCGAGGTAATTAAAATACTTTCAACTACGATATTGGAACTAATACGATCCCGACTTTTCGAATTCTTTGTTATAGAGTTCCAAAAGAAATAAGTAAATAAGAGATTAAGCAATATAAATGAATATGATACGAGTAAATAATTAGCATTATCGCCTGTGCATGTTCGTACGGAAATCAAAGCCAAAGTTCACGTAGTAGAAATTGAACCCCAACCAAATTGTGCTGGCAACTGATTGCGGACCGTAACGAGTGACCAAATCCGTATACAATAATTCGTCGCTTTCTTTTTGAACACGTCGGTGTCACTCGATAGAAATGATTCAGGATTAATAAATTTATTATTCGCTTTGCCGATTTTCTTTTTTACTTGAAACATACTTAAAACTGAGAGAATATTGCAATTTTGGGACAAAAAGTTCTCGACGTGCGTGGCAAGACAAATACCAGAATTGACACGGTCACGAAATGAAATTTTAAATTCAATCTTCAAAATTTCCTCCTTACCTAAGAAAAAAAAAAAAAAAAAAAAAAAATCGGCCAGATATTAAATAGTACGCAGAACACACTCGACACATTAAAGGCAGCGTTGTTCAAAGTCAGATCCTCCAGAAGGCTGGTTCACCCTTCTTAGTTTCCCCCTGGTACGCAAAACCGCGAAGCGAAACGATACGTATTCAAGGCGGCAGAGGAAAGAGGAGTTGGGGAGGATATGAAGAGGGTGGTGCGGGCGCGAGTTGAATGCAGGACAGATTACCGGGCCACCCCTGCGGGGCGCGATTCGGCTTTGCGAAAATGGGGTGGCAGCTTGACTAACGGACGACGGTTGTCGCGCGGCTCTGGATAAACGCTCGTGTAATCCCTTCCAAATGGACATACGCGCCGCTTGCCAAACATTTCACCTTGAATAACACCGGCGTGATAATTATTTCATCCGTGGAATATTATTAAATCTCACGAACGTAAAGTATACACACATATATATATATATTACTGAGTTACCAGATAAGGGGTGGTAGAGCCCTTGGTGGAAGTATAATAATTCTGCGTCGCACAGTTTCCAATTGGCATTGAAATTATTATTCGTCCTAACTATGCTAATTTCGAGTAATCTTTCCAAACAAAAGCTCCTTAACCTGCCACATACGTCGAGAATTTTCCAAAATTGTAATATTTTCTTAGTTTTAAGTATATTTAAGTATAACCCAGGCAAAGCAAATAATATATATATATTACTGAGTTACCAGGTAAGAGTAGTAGAGCCCTTGGTGGAAGTATAATAATTCTGCGTCGCACAGTTTCCAATTGGCATTGAAATTATTATTCGTCCTAACTATGCTAATTTCGAGTAATCTTTCCAAACAAAAGCTCCTTAACCTGCCACACACGTCGAGAATTTTCCAAAATTGTAATATTTTCTTAGTTTTAAGTATATTTAAGTATATCCCAAGCAAAGCAAATAACATATATATATATTACTGAGTTACCAGGTAAGAGTAGTAGAGCCCTTGGTGGAAGTATAATAATTCTGCGTCGCACAGTTTCCAATTGGCATTGAAATTATTATTCGTCCTAACTATGCTAATTTCGAGTAATCTTTCCAAACAAAAGCTCCTTAACCTGCCATACACGTCGAGAATTTTCCAAAATTATAATGTTTTCTTAGTTTTAAGTATATTTAAGTATAACCCAGGCAAAGCAAATAATATATATATATTACTGAGTTACCAGGTAAGAGTAGTAGAGCCCTTGGTGGAAGTATAATAATTCTGCGTCGCACAGTTTCCAATTGGCATTGAAATTATTATTCGTCCTAACTATGCTAATTTCGAGTAATCTTTCCAAACAAAAGCTCCTTAACCTGCCACACACGTCGAGAATTTTCCACAATTGTAATGTTTTCTTAGTTTTAAGTATATTTAAGTATAACCCAGGCAAAGCAAACAATCAATTCGTTACATCTCAATTTCTATCTACGATATCATAGCTACGATACGAGTTCAAAAGGAAAGCGGCGAATTATCGTATACCGTTACGGTCACTCGTTATGGTCCGCAATCAGGTGGCAAGGAATAGGAATTTTAGTTTACAATTTGTTCAGTTAAAGTTGGAATGATGAATCGAATCATGTATCTCTTGTTTTTAGACTTTTCTTTAAGATATTTAACGAAATTTATTTGAGATTTTGTATGAATTGATAGATATATTGATTATATAGCGATGAACGATAATGATATATAATATAATATAATTTTAATAATTATTATATAAATCACAATGTAATTATAGTTATTGTACATTAGTCATTTTATTATAATTGATATTATACACAGTATTACAGCAAATGGTAGTACCATTAAATAGTTGAAACAACAGATTGGACGATATACTTCCTTTTGACGATATACAACCAAATTTACTTTGTCCAACGAACTGATAGTGATACAATTTGTAATGTAATTATATTTATTATCCTACCATATTAATCATTTACATCCGTTCGAATATTACCATTGGCACAGTGCCATTAAAACGCGCGATATGTCTCGGTTAAATTTTCTCTCCACGCTACAGACGTAAATGAACTCTTGCTCGCGTCGCGGTACGCGACGATAAGATTGAAATGTAAAAATTCGAGGAGCGCGGCAGGGTTAATAACACGCGCGAGTCGTCATTAAACCGTATGCCATCGCATCCTCGTACCACCCACGTAGGCGCGTTAAATGCATTCCGCGGAATGTTATCCGCCGCGTAACGCGCATTACCGCGCATCGGTATTAGTACAGAACGGCCGTGTGGCTGGCTGCCTTTCCGCGTAATTATTTCGTCGCGCGCCTCCCTCTTTCTTTCCTTCGCGAAGCATCGTGACGTTTGTATCTGCCCCACCCCATAACTCGCTGCCATGGGGACACCGATCGAGCGGGCAGCCAGAGTCTTCGTCGTCGACAAGCACGTGAAAAACGCGAGAGTCTTTTCATTTTCGCTGGCTGGGCTGAGAGAGGGAGCATCCAGGGGAGAAAAAGAGAAGAGAGAGAAGAGAAGGGGGGGGTGAGGAACTGCCTGACCGATGCTAGGGGATGGAAAGAGAAAGGGTGAAGGAACGACCAAAGTGAAACGAACGGGAGATCTGAAAAAGAAAAGAAAAAAAAAAAACGGATGGAAGAGAGCGACGAGCAGAAGGGCAACGGTTAGGGATGGGTCGAGAGACAGAGGGAGAAACGAGGGTGGTTTTTCGAAGAATGGAGGATGGTACACGAGAAGTATTCGAGCACTTCGCTTGGAAGAATTTTCTTTTCCTCTTTTTTCTTTTTTTTTTTTTTTAATCATTATCTGTATTGCTGAGTTTGAGGCTTATTAATGAAGAATGATAATAATAAGAAAAGGAAATTTGAAGTTGAATCGAAAAGTCACAAAATTAGTGCAAAGCGTGTATTAGTGTAATACTTGTAATATATTAAAGGTGGATCCATTAAATATCGAGACTCACTGAGATGAGAAGAAACTAGTACTCGTGTTGAAAAGCTTGCATCTAATATTTTGTAACTTTTACATATATATTTTAAATGTGTTCTAATATTATTGCTCTTTGTTTCAAAATTTTATTACTGCAATTTTATTTTATTACTTAATGAGCAT